AACACTTTGCAGATTCCATACAGGACCCAGAATGACATCATTTTTGTTCTGCAGACACTTTAAGTGCAGCATGGAGATGTTGTGAAATAGACTTTGCTTGCAGGCTGCTGAGGCAGAATTGCTGGATTGAGAGCTGGTAATGGGAGAAATAGCTGGAATAATATGAAACCCTAAAGTGTAGTAACAGGATGTATTTCCTAATGTAAAAATTTTATGATGGCTGTTTCTCGGAGCAGGATGAAATCCCAGTTGAATTGCAATTGGCATTTTGTTATAGCAGCTCATCCTGATTTTCTCATAAACTAAGACAGGGTTGTTTTGGTTGAGGGTGAACAGTCCCCAGAAGGGAAGAATGGCACTAACACACTTCTAGCTCTAAATCAGAGACAATTGCCTGTTGTCCTTCTTTAAGTGGAATTTTATTCTAATAGCATTCAATCCTTCTGACTTCCAATTTTTTCCGTCCAGATAATTTGAAAGAAGCACGTGTACTCAAAGCTAATAAAACATTTTATTGAAACAGTTTTTATAAAGAAACACAATTTTATCTGGTATTTCTTCTCCTCTCCCCGTTATATCTTTTACTTTGAAGAAACTTTCTTTTAAAGAGAGGAGAAATCTTTTGGAAAACATTTAAATGTCTTATCAAACAGCTGCAGAATGAAGTGTCTTGGGTTTTACTGGTATTTAAAATGTCTTTGCATAAATTAATGTAATGGAACATTTATAATTTATTTACATGATTTGATTGTGAACTTGCGTTACAAAAATCATGATTAATTGAAAAAATTGCAATAACCTGCCTTTTTTTTCCAGCTTGGAATTTAAATATTTCATTTTCCAGTCACCACTATGTACTCTTACTTTAGAAAGAGGAAATATGGAAATGGGAAGGCATGGCTGCTAAACTGTCTGGGACACCTCTTTAAATTTATTTCTTTTCGCATAGTTTCCATCAGTTGTGATTACATTTGGGTTTGTTGCGATTTAGAGCAAAGGCCATACTTGATCATGGCAGCTCGCTATATTACACCAACAGCAGCAAAATGTTGACTATCACAAAATCAGACCAAAGCCCACAGTACTTACCCGTGTTTTTGTCTCTCTGCTGCTCTGTGCACTCCCACCAGCCTGGCCCTTGGAGATTATTATAATTTTGCCAGTCCTTCCACATTCAGACTGAGTCGGTTGCAGCCGCCCCAGTGGGTTTACCAATGGGAATTTTCAGGGGGGCTCTGCACTCTCTCATGCAAACAAGCACACAGCAAAAGTTTGTGCATGACCTAGAAAAACTACCTCAAAGCTGCGCAGGCAAATACGTAAAGCCGAAGCTGGAGCTGAGACTAATTAATCTGGTGCGGTGACTCCAAACGTCAATTAGCTGGGAATAAATTTTAATCCCTGCTTGAACCAGGCAGGATTTAATTTGGTATCAAGAGGTGACAGGCTGTATCGTTCATTTGCCACACTTTCTGTTCTGGGAAGAGGCTTATTATATTAAGCCCTAATCTTTTTGGATTTTGCACAGACCCAGTCAGCCTTGTTTCTGGAATACAAGTGAAGCTGCCTAGGACAAAGGGTGCTCAATGTTATTTCTTCATTTTTGTTGGGTGCCACCCTTGTCAGTAGCATCACTCTGCACCCTAGTTTGTGTACTGATTTGAGGTAGTCAGCCTTCCACCACTGGAGTGCATGCTGCAGTCTGAGAAGCACAGTCTCAGCAAAGCATGGAGGCTGCCACAGCTTGTCCTTAAAGGGCTGGATGCTGCTAGTCAAAGCAACAAATATACACCAATAAAAGGCATATTAATGCAAATTTTAACTTAAGTCATATGTTTATTCAGTATATATAGAGAAGCAAATTATTCTAGAAGCATCTGATCTGACTTCTCCTCAGTCTGAGCAAGAGGCCTTACTGGCCTGTCAGTCCTGGTTTCAATGCTGTCCAAATCACATTTAGACTCTCTTTTTCTGCAGAACTGGGGAATAGTAATTACTGTGCAATTGAATGTAATGTCTTGGGTTGTGAAGGGCAGAAAAATATTAACCACAGTTGGCAGAACAGCTGGGACTTGAACAATTAGCCTTTGGTCACATAGATAAAACTCTTTCCCTCCAAGCTGTAAGACATTTTGAGGGGGATTAGTTCCTCATTCGCATTTTGCTTTGCAAAAATTGTGTGAAAGTTGCAAGATTATATATAGTGACAAAATAGCCTATAGCAGTGATCAGAATTACGTTACCCGTGATGAATAAAAAATGACAACACTGCCTGAATGTGGCCTATTTCATCATGAGGAATCCAGAAATTGCAAACGCAAAGTCTAATCTCCGTCCCTCTGATATTTATGGTGAAGGAGTCATCACTTAGCTAATGTAAGAACAGGCTACTTGGAGAACCAGCGTACAATCTTCTGCTGTACTTTAGCCATTAGATGTTTGAAATGCTGTAAAATCCAACAGTTCATGGCCTCACTGCATAGCTGTGTAAGACAGCGGTGGGGAAAATCCCAAGCACTTCAGACTGCAGACGCAACAGGCCCGCCACCTGCAGTCCCCTCAGGGTACCTGTGCTAGGCTGCTCGCACTTGACAAAATCTCTGTAAAATAACACATAGTATTTGATTCAAGGCTTTGTGGGAGATGTTTTCTTTTCCTTTGATTATTGTCGAACCTGTCAGGGCCAGAGGAGGCAGCTGTGAATACAATTTGTGGGGTTATGGGCCCAAGCTAAGTGACCTGGAAAAGCTTTTGCATTAGCACCTGCATGCAGAGTTATAGGAGGTGGACTAGGGTAAAGGCCTGCGTGCGTGGCTCTGGATGGTTTCTGGGGTGTACAGTAGTCTGCAGATCATATGGGATGATCTGGATGATCTTCTGGAAGTTGCAGTAATTGATAATTTGCCCTCATTTTATTTGAGGTTTAATTTTTAACCTCCAAAATGGCCTATGCTCTGTAGGGCAAAAAATAAAAGCAACTATTAGCCATACAAATTCCTGTATCGTTTTGTTTTTCTGATTTTTATCCTCTCCAACAAGTACAGCATGGCATCATGTATCTTAGTTGGCTTCTTTTGAAATCAGGCACCTTCAGCAACTCGATGCCCCTTTCTCACAGCACTGAGGAAGTGATTCATTACTGACTGGGAGAGAGGACACTGTGCAATGGGTATCTGTTATAACTTGATTTCTCTGTGCTGGTTTATTTGCTATTTTTCTAAATAAGAAACATTCCCATGGAGTGGGAGTGGTGTCAGTTTTGTGATCAGATGCAGCCTGCAGCAAAATAAACATGGAAATGGTAAGGAAGACCTTATGTTTACTCTCTGAAGCTTTTAGTTCAGTGTAAGATAAAGGTCATTCTGGAGAAACATGTCAAGATTTCTAGTGAGGGTGGCAGACATCTAACATAACCAGAGAACCAGGAGGTTTAAAAAGGAGTTAAAACTACAAGGGAAAAAAAAAAATCTGGAAGTATTTTTAGAAATCTGAGAGTTTGATATTTGAACGTAAGGACAATCAGACTGCCCATCTGAAGTGGGCAGTATACACACTGCAGAAAGCTTTGAGTGTAAAATGATCTCTCCTGTTAGAGAAATGCTCTGTTTAGAAATGCAGCAGTACGAACCCAGCCTTCTCCCCCCCCTTGTGTTTTGCAACCTCCTTGGTAAAGTGAGATGATACTTAGCAGACACTTACATACTAGATTAAAAAAAAAAAAAAAAAAGCAAGCATATAGCTGAAAGAACAAGCCTTAACAAATACAAGTGATAATACCAATTTCTGAATCACTTCCTGAAACCTCATTTTCCTTTGAGGTGTCTCATTCCTACTGAAATTGGAAGAACTCAAATGAAAGTTATTACGGAGGTCACTGTAATCAGGAAGTGTAAATTTAAAAAGAGCCCTTTAAACATTGAGAGTGTAAAAAGTGCTTTTCATCACATATCCTCCCAACGCTCCGCATTGCCCAATTCAGAATAATGTGCATTTTCTTCTTTGGTAGGCAAGGTTTTAGAGTTTGTGTACTAACTGGTACACAAAGTATGAGGGCAAGCAAAGCTCTGATTCTGAAGCTGTTGGCTTCTTATCTGGTAGGCAGATATGCAGGATCAAAAATTCTCTGGGTTTGGAGCACTAAATGGATGAGAACTGGACATGCAGCATCATTTTCTTCTACTTGACAGAAGATTTGGTGGAAAGTTGCCCTTGGTCATCAGCCTAAATCAAATCAGTAGTTCAAGAGTCTCTTTCTTGTTCTAATTTTATCAAAAGAGCACCACCATGACTTGCTAGTTGCTACTCTTTCTCACTATGCAAAGATAAAAGGTAAAATGACAAAGCAGGGTGCCCTTCTAGGGGCAGTGGCTTGGCTGGTGTCGTGGTTTAAAACCAGGCAGAGGGCTCGTTCACTCACTCCCCCCTTCTTGCCCTCCCCCTACTCCCGGAGGGACGGAGAGGAGAATTGAAAAGAATGCAACTCCCACGGGTTGAGATAAGAACAGTTTAGTAACTAAGGTATAACACAGATCACTACTGCTACCACCAATAATAATAATGATAAAGGAGATAACAAGGGAAGAGAATACATCAGGTCACCACCAGCCAACTGATAACTCGCCGCCCCCCCCCCCCCCAGCCCGATCAAGCACCGACCCATACCTCCTCCAAGCCTGCAGTCCCAGTCCTTCCGGGTAGCTCTCAGTTACATCCTGGGCATGACGTGCTGTGGTATGGAATACCTCTTTGGCTAGCTTGGGTCAGGTGTCCTGTCTCTGCTTCATCCTGGCGTCCCTCCTCCCTGGAAGAGCATGAGGCTCACAAAGTCCTTGTATAAACCAAAACATCATTGTTATCAGCTCTGTTCCCAAGCCAAAAGTCAAAACACTGCACTGCACCAGCTACCAAGAAGGAGAAAAATGACTGCTACTGCTGAACCCAGGACAGCTGGGAGCATTGGCTGAACTGTGACTGATGTTTACTTCTTTTTTAAATGCAGAAGTAAGCATGATCTGCTTCACTAGCTGGTGTAAAGGCCTTCCACGAGAAAAGTGGATAAAGAACATGTAAGAATTTGGCTTGGCACTTCCAGAGGATGCCTCTGACATTTGAAACTGGATAATGCAATTCAGAAAGGGTGTTTACAAGCTGATCATGATACAGCTCTCATCAGCTTGGGTCAGGCTTGCATTTCCCACCTTGTAGATGTTTATTTATTTATAATCTGACAACTTTGAGAAGCCTATAATGGTATGGTAATATTTCTGAATAAGCAGATAATGACAATTTTACTATCTTTACTTCATATTTGAGATGAGCTCCTAAAATCAAACTTGCTCTTAGGGTCTGCTTGAAAAACACAGGCTTGTGCAGTGGGCACTTTGCACCCTGGCTGCCGGGGTTTACCTCTCTTTCCCCAGCAGGAAACTAAACTATTTCAAGTGTTAGTAAAAAATTTCTTCTGGAAGGGCCAAAGCAACTGAGCTTCCCCAGCAAGCTGCTAGGTCAACTTTGGGCACTCGCTCCTCCATTGGTACCCCTCATTGCTCTCAGGTGCCAGGGCTCTTGCACCTATGCCTCTTCACAACTCAGTGGTTCCAACTGATCCTGCCAATGTTTTGAGGGTGGTCCTACTTAACTTTTAAATTAGGATGGGGGAGAGAGGTGAGAAGGGTGAAAAGGCAATCATTTCAAGACTGCTTTCTTGAAATGAAGCTGTAAAAGGATTACATTTGGATGACAGATCCCATGTCTGGGCACAAGTGGTTCCAGGAGCTTTTTGTCTGTATAGGAGATGACTTCTCCATGGCTTAGGACAGGTAATGTGGCTTCACTGCCACTTCTAGGACTCTAGGAGTGTGGCTGGGTGCAGGATGGAACAGCTAAGATTATCAGGGCATGCTTGTCCTGGTGATGCTCTTACTTGCAGCTTGATGATGGAACAGTCTTAAGAAAGCTCTAAAAGATGACTGAGAAATGTGTGACATTTCTGGCTTAAGAAGAAATAATAAAACATTAGAAAGCTACATATGCAGGCACTGAAAATGTGGACTATGGTGCCTGAATGTGTCATTAGGCAAATGGTATCAGTATGTATGATTTCCATGCTTTTTTTCCGTTTCAGATTGATAAGCATTGTATTCAGTTATTCACCAAAGTTAATAAAAGGTGCTGGTAGCAGGCTTCAAGACTCAATTCCTGTATTCACAGAAGATATTCAGCAGAGGTAGTGGCAATGTTCACTTCCCCTTGATAGTTCTTTCATAAGTGCCTTTATGCTCAGTCGCCATCTCTTAGATGTTAAAGGGCAGTTCAGTCATGATGTTTATTGAATCCTTGCCCTTTCTACTTAAATTGCCTACAGGGAAGGCGACTAATTCTGGCTTCCTGGGATGTAAGCAGGAAGGACTGTTTTTTAAGCACCTTTTTTTTTCCCTCCAAAAACTCTATGATTTATAAAAATGTTTTTCATTTTGCTGAAAACTTTCTCTACTACAGTAATTTCCTTATGCTGAAGCATAGATTGTCATGACCAAATACTCTGCCGTTTTACAGAGGTGTTTTTATTAGGAATAGCTCCTGAGTGGGCCATGAGACTGTCTTCCTGGCACAGAGACAAGAAATGCTTACTTCCAACCTTGCACCCAGCATCCTCAATCACATAATGATGGAGAGTAGAGCTCCATCCCTCCAACACGCTGACTCATGTACCTCTGCTCAGCACATAAGTCAGGGGCATTTACGTCCTCCGTGAAGCATAAAAATACCTTTTTTTTTTAATAGCTCACAGGCAACAATATTTCTCCTCCTGCAACTGGTCATGCACCTAGAACAGAATCACATTCTTAGCAGTTAATTTTAGGAAGGAGAATAAATACGGGGCTCTCAAGATTATCTGTATATTTAGCATCTTGATATACTTAGGTGTGTTCTTAATTGTTCATTCTTTGGCAATGGTAGATAAATGGCTTTTTTTTTTTTTTTTCTTTGTGAAGTAACAAGACTTTCATTTGAACAGCTTGTTGCTCCTAAGAAAGTGACTGTAGAGAAAAATCACTTAGAATTCACAGAATCATAGGATGGTTTAGGTTAGAAGAGACCTTAAAAATCATGCAGTGCCAAACCCCCTGCCATGGGCAGGGACACCTTCCCACTAGGCCAGGTTTCTCAAACCCTGTCCAACCTGCCTTGAACACTGCCAGGGGTGGGACATATACAGCTTCTCTGGGCAACCTGTGCCAGATCACAGAAGGCTAGCCTGTTCCTGGCTGGATTCCACTTTCTGTGGTGGGTTTATATGTTTTGCACAGTTAATCTGGGGCCAAGCAACAATTAAGCAGAAGGGATCTTCCTTATAGTAATTAATTACTGCAATAGCCTTGTGCAAAGCACACTGTAGCAGGAGTTATATACCAAGCAGCAGGTTCCTATCCCACAAACTGCAGGATTTTAGAGAACACATACACAAAAAAAAAATAGATAACACAGAATGTTGAGGGCTTGTATTAGCTGAAATCTTATGTGGGATCTTAGATAAATGGAGTCCATTTCATTCACTGTAGTCTGAAGAAAAGATCAGGAAAGATCCAGGTCACCGTTGCTCAACTTTTTTTACTAATAGTGCAAAGCGGGTATTAAAAGATAACCATTTAGATATAATAGCTTTTTTTATTTGCTCTGCACTGATTTAGCATTAGTAAAAACAGATGTACTTCTTGTTTTCTGAAAGTAGCAGGAGCTGTGGTGTTTTCTTGTCCTCCTCTTTGGAGTTGCTTTCCTTCTATTTTCACAGCCATAGTTCAATACGGACTTGACTGCCCCTCAGTGTTGAACCCTGAGCCAGCCTAACCAAAAGGAAGCACGTTACCATGGTGAATATGAGGCAGAAACCACCTTTCCACTGAGGGAGATTTCAGGAAAACCAGCAAATCAAAGAGAGCACTGAGGCAGCAGTTCTGGGAGTATGGTCACCTTCTCCACAAGGAACTCTATGTTGTCTCATAGATCATCCATCTAGCCTGGACCTGCCATGTTAATGTGGATCTGTGCCTTCCAGGATGGAGCTGGGCTGCACTCCATCATCTGAAAGTATGGGTAGGTGTGCTGGAATTGGCCTAAATATGTGTAGAAAGACTTATCCCAGATCCTCCTTATTCTGTGAGAGAGCTCCACTAGGGCTCTCAATAAGGAAATGATCTCTCACCCCAACCCAGACACCACAGAGAACACCTGAAACCATAGACTGTCCCATTTTATGGCTACCTGCTGCTCACAGTCTTTCCTTCATGTTTCTTGCTCTGATCATCAGGCAGGATCCCACCCAGCTTCTCCCCCTGAAGCCCCTCTAGCATTGCCGCAAGAGTTGCCTGGAGGACCAGGCTTACTCGCTGCAGGAAGAGGGATGTAAGGCAGATCACTAGACCACTCTTCACCTAGAGCTATCTTTAAACACCCAGTGCTCAGCCTGTTATGCCGAATGAACCTTTTCCTTCTTTTTATCTACATTGTAGTATAACACGGATTATAAAAAAAAAAAAAAAAAGCTTTCGTTTGCTGCTTTGTGGCAATTTAATCTCCTCTTACATATTTATAACACCAGTAGTTCCTGATCAAGGAGTTGAAACCTTGTGTTTTGTTTTCAGTATTCTGTGAGCAAAGGGGTAAGTATGACTGGTATTGAAATAGAGAGGAATCTGCTTTCTAAGACCAAAATAGTTTATCATCCTCTGCCCTTCTCAGTAAGTTCTCATCTTTTATCAGTTCTTTTATTAAGGGCTGCTGTGCATAACTGGTTGTTTGTTTACAGGCAGAAATGTAACTGTCAGGATGGTTAAGGGGTTCTGGTCTTATATACATTTTTGACCTATATTTAATACTGCCTCGTATTTATTTTCTTACATATCTAATTGCCATTCCCAGTTTGCACTGTCATTAATTCCCCATGCCATTTAACTGATGCTGTTACGAACTCACTGCAGCAGCGATTTAGAAGCTCTCCTACCTACCAGAAGTTTTGTGGATGAAATCAGAGATTTGTCCCCATCTGCAAGGCTTGGGGATTGCCCTATTCTCAGTTGCATGAGAGAAGTAGGTTTTGACAAGCATCCAAAATGAAAGTGACCCAGAAACTGCTGGAAGAAACAACGGTTAGCCTTTAAAAAACTAGGGAATAATATTTTTGGTGCTAGTCAGAAGACCTTATAAGAGGAGAGCTGGATGAGTTTTGACCTCTGACTTGTCAGGTTTTGTCCTTCAGTTAACACCTCCACAGAAGGCCATTTTTCCAGAGCAGACTCGCTGATAGGGAGAAAAAAAGAAATTGCAGTATAAAGGAAGAAGAAAGGCTTAAAAGGCAAACAACTAAATGGAGAAAAACATCATCTTTTCCCTCTGAACCTTCCGCCAAATCCTTTGATCTGTTTTTGGAGTTGTGAACTCCGCTGAGGAAGATGAAGCAGTATCCCTTACAGATGTTTGCAGAGGTGTCTGTGGTTTGGTTTGTTAATACCAGACAGCCAGATTCATTATCTGGTTTTGCTCCATCAAAATACTAGACCTGGAGAAAAGGGGAAAGACTAGCAGTCATTATGCTAATAAAGCTTGATTAATGTGTGAAACCAAAGCCTAAAATCAAGTGCATCCTGTCATTTTGGCCCAGCTACCAGAAAAAATCCCTTTCCTGCTCTGTGACATGATGCTAAAAGATACTGTCAATTGCTTAGATTTTGGGTCAGGATTACGTTTTCATTCCTATTTGTGTGATAGCTGTTAAACAATGTTACAAAATTTTACAAGGACCAAATCCTCCACACGAGTGGCCCCACTGAGCTGGATTTCAGCTCAGTAACACACAGGTAAATGCAGATTAGCTTCTTCAAAGGCAATGGAATAAATCCAGATTATGGTGGTGTAACCAGGTCACTAACATTATTATGACTATTTTCAGGGGGTGGGAAAAGAAAGGGGGACGGGTGGGAGACAAGTTTAAGACATTTGCTTAAACTCTTCTGAGAGAGTCTGAAAGGAATTGTGTTCAGGTTATCAGATGTGACGGTTCAGGAGGAATTAAAAAGTGACTGTGAAGGTTTTGAACCAAGAGTCAGTGAATCAAAATTTCCAGACACCCCAACAGGGCATTTGATGAAGAGTGAAGCATCTCAGTACTATACATAGGTCTGTTGTCAGAGCAGTAATAGCATAATTGCACAGGGAAACAGGGTGACTGCTGTGAGCAAATGCACAAATTGTATATGAGAAACAGTACCCTTCATAGGTGGGAAATGCTGACTTTAAAGTACTGTTTCTTACTCTGCATTTTAAGTTATCTTACAACCAGTCTAGCATTTAGGTCACAATACACTTGCTTGAGAAACCACTGCCTGGGAAAATAGCCAAGAGCTAAGAAAATTAGTGAAGGGAGAAAACAGGTTCTGTAAATATTAAGCTTCAGAGAAGGTATGCTCTAGCCTGATATTTTTACAGTTTTCTTGGGACTGATATTCATATCCTTAAAGCAGTACACTTTTATGCTAACACCAGTTACTTCTTTTTGATGGGAAGTGAAAGGGTTTGAATCTCTGGTTCCTTTCACTTTATTTCCTCCTGTGCTCACTTCTCTCCCCATCTCAGTAACAGGTTATACCAACTGTTTTACAGCAGCCAGACTACTGAACTCAAGTTAAAAGTGACACTATTTACATAAATAGTGTCACATAAATAGTCCTCCTATTTTGTCACTGCCTGCAACTTGAAAAAGGAAATGTAGATTGGGTGGTTTGCAGTATTGTTTATTACTAAGCTATTCTCTAATCATGGAGAAAACTGTACGGTTTGCTTTGCAATAAACAGAACTGTAGTCCACTAAATACCATCAAATTAAAACATTCTTGAAGGTTTTAGTTCAGCACCTTATTAGACTGCCAATATAAATAGTTGTACGCATGTTTTAAATAACAACACATGCCATTACAAGAGTAGAGCTTGGGCAGAAAAAATTCCCTTCAACTATATTGCGTAAAAATGACTCAAAAGGGTGTAGTGTCTTGTGAAGATGCAGCGCTCTATTTCATGGAGCTTACACGGATGGCTGCAGAAGAATTCCATTTTGGATAGCAAGCATGTTTTTAGGAAGGAAGTTATAGGATAAAGTTTAGGACTGTTAAGTAAGAATGTTTGCGTTGTTTGGTATCCTTTAATAAAGTAGTGGAAATAAACTGGAATAACATGGCTGATCTAATTTGAACTTACTGCCCGGAGATATTCATAGACCTTTCATGTAATGTGAATCAAATCATGCTATAAATCAAGGACTACAAAAGGTGAATAAAAGGAGCCTAGGTGTCACATTAGTGATTTGTGAAGTGTGTGAGCTCAAAGTTGCTTCTTAAAGAGAAATATCTGAAATAGTACCTCAACTGAATTAACTGAAAGTCTTTCTAAACCTGTGTGCATTAAATTTGTTTTTACTTTCCCACATTGTGGGGTTTATGCATTAAATTTGAGCACATCCCAAAAGTTGAGCCAATGAAATATTCCTGTGGTATTAGGAAATGGAGATCATTTACAGCTAAAGAAAGGAGTATACAAAATGCCTGAGACTTCAGAATATAAAAGGAAGGGGGTAACTCTTGCAGACTTACCAGAACTGGCAAATTACTCTACCACTGGACCTGAAAGATTGTGCTAGCATGACCAGAGTAAAGGTTTTGGAAATTGAAAATAATAAAACCTACTTCTTCATGGGTCTCAAAAAGTTGAACACGTTAGGTGCTTAGAAACAGCAGAAAGTTGTCTTTTCTTACATGATAAATTGCTTTGCAGCAGAA